TCCAAGTTTTTGGGTCCTCCCCTGCAGGTGCCCCAGGCAGAGGTGCCCGAATCCACGTTGGTGATGCAGGTCTATGACTTCAACCGCTTTGCCAAGCACGACATCATCGGGGAGGTGAGGCTGCCCCTGGCCAGCCTCAGCCTGCAGCACGTCATCGAGCAGTGGAGCGACCTGGTGGTGGCCAGCAAAGTGGAGGTTGGTCCTGCTGGGTGGGACACTGCTGAGGGGAACTCAGCGTTGCTTCATTTGCCAGCACCCCGAGAATCGGGGCCCTTGGGAGGAAGCGTGAGGAGCAGGAAGACCCAGGAAACCTGGAGCCAACTTGGTGCTCCTGAGGGGAGCCAGCTCCTCTGCCTGGTGCTCATTTGGGTTTCAACCTGGCTTCTGTCCATCAGGAGGAGCAGCTGGGTGAGATCTGCTTCTCCCTGCGCTACGTCCCCAGCACGGGCAAGCTGATGGTCCTCATCCTGGAAGCCAAGAAGCTGAAGAGGATGGATTCTCATGGCCTTTCAGGTCAGACTTCCCTGCTCCTGCCCAGCCCTTAATGATGGCACCAAGAGTTGCAAAGACTTGAAAGTTCTCGGTGGTGAGACCTGCTTCCTGCTGCCACCACCATAGCCAGCCCTCAGCTGGCTCCCAGCCTGCCTCAGCACAGATACTCCAGCTTTGGGCAGAGCTGGAGGTGTCTCCCAGGAGGAGATGTTTGGGCAGAGCTGGAGGTATCTCCCAGGGGGAGATGTTTGGGCAGAGCTGGAGGTGTCTCCCAGGAGGAGATGTTTGGGCAGAGCTGGAGGTATCTCCCAGGGGGAGATGTTTGGGCAGAGCTGGAGGTGTCTCCCAGGAGGAGATGTTTGGGCAGAGCTGGAGGTGTCTCCCAGGAGGAGATGTTTGGGCAGAGCTGGAGGTATCTCCCAGGGGGAGATGTTTGGGCAGAGCTGGAGGTGTCCTCCAGGAGGAGATGTTTGGGCAGAGCTGGAGGTATCTCCCAGGAGGAGATGTCATGGCTGGATGATATGGGGGCTCATGGGAGGAGATGTGCTCTGGGTGGCTGCTGAAGGAACGAGGGCTGGATGCTCAACACGAGTAGGATGCTGAGCTCTGCTGGGGAGTGTCCCAGGGAAGATGTTTCTTGGCCCAGCTCCTCAGCTGCAGTTTGTCCCTTGTGGCAGCTGTCTCCTCTCTCTCCTCAGACCCTTTCGTCAAGGTGCATCTCATCCTGAACAGGAAGAAATGGAAGAAGAAGACCACGAGTGTGAAGAAAAACACCTTAAGCCCTTACTTCAACGAGGCCTTTGTCTTCGAGGTGCCCTTCAGCCAGATCCAGGTGGGTTCCCCTGCAGCACCCGGGGCTGAGCAGGTCCCCACTGAGGTGTTCCCCCTCTCACTGGTCCCCCTTCTTTCTTCTCCAGAACGTGGACCTGGTCATCTCCATCTGGGATCATGACAAAGTGACCAAAAACGAGCCCATTGGCAAACTCTTCTTGGGCTGCAGAGCCACGGGCAACCAACTGAGGCACTGGTCTGACATGTTGGCCAACCCACGCAGGCCCCTCACCCAGTGGCACGTCCTCCAGCCCCCAGAGGTGGTCGACAAAGCCCTGGGGTTGAAGTCCCACCTCAAGCTGCCCCTGACCTCCAGATAGTTGAGGGTCTCCTCCTCCTCCCGGAGGGTTTTGAGGAGGGGTGAGGGGTTCAGCTCAGCAACCTCTGGACGTGTTGGGGCCTGGAGGGTCTTTTTGGCCAAGAGGTGATCTGGCTGCTGGTGCAGCTCGTGCCCTGTGTGGTGTCTGGAGCAGGGCAAGGGTGGACACAGGGCAGAGGGGACAGCAGGAGCTGGCTCATCCCAACTGCTCGTGGGCCAAAGAGAACAAACCACAGAGTCCCAGCATGGTGAGGGTGGGAAGGGACCTCTGGAGATCAACTCATCCAACCCCCCCTGCTCCAGCAGGATCACATCCAGGTGGGTTTGGAACCTCTCCAGAGGAATCTCCACAGCCTCTCTGGGCAGCTGCTCCAGGGTTCTGTCATCTTCTCAGTAAAGAAGGCTTCAAGCTCATGCAGAACTGAGTCCATGGATGTTTTTTAAAGCAGAGGATTCACGTGCCAGCAGCTTGGGGTGGGCAGTTTGTTTGGTTGAGAATAACTTGGAGGTGAGTTCTTGAGAAGGCTTTATGGGTCCTCTGAAAGGTTTTAAACATGACCAAGATTTTGAAGCACCTCAAGAGGCTTGAGCAGAGAGGACAGGCTGACAAAGAAGGTGTTGGAGGTCCAAGAGTGGCTCTTTTCTGCATGAAAATCAGCCACTGGTTGTCCACCCTCTTAGCCCATCCCCACCCCGTGCTGACTGGTGCACCTCAAGCTGTGGAACTCCTCAGGAACCAACCCCATGGACCAGGCAGGTGAGGATGCAGCCTCAGCTCCATCCACTCACACCACCCTGACGAAGGGTTGCAGCCTTCACATCACTTCTGGGCAGGTTTCAAGTCATCTGGGAGGATTTTCTGCCTTCATGTAAGCCAAGAACCCTCCTAGAAGGATGAAGGCATTGGAGAGGTGACACCATCCCTCCCCATCCTTGAGTAGGTGGCAGTCTGGGGGCCTTGAGCTCCATGGAAGGGTTAAACCAACACGGTGGAGCTGAGGAAGGTGATGGAAACTCTGGGTAGAGATTCATGACCTGAGCTGAACCACAGAAAGCTGTGGCTGCTGCTTCATAAATGTTCTCCAGGCTTGGCTGTGGCTCTGAGGGGGGAAGAGGTCACAGGGTGGTTTGGAGAGGGTTGTAACAAGTGGAGTGTGGCTTCTGCTGGGGAAAAAGCTTCTGCTGGTGAGGTGGAGGAAGGAATCAATCACCTGAGAAAGACCTGAAGGGATGTGTTGAAGCTTCAGCCTTAAATCAGGCATGGAATCTTAAACCTGGAGTGGGTTGTGCAGAAGAGAAGGTCCCTGAGGTGGGGGTGAGGTCCTGAACCCACCACCAGGTTGTGGTGATGCCTGGGAGATGATTTAGGGCCGTGCAGGACCCAGAGGGGCTTCTGGAGGTGGTGGGAACAAGCATTTCTTATTTCTCTGTGTGTGTTTAAGCTTCTTCCAACCCATTTTTCTGGAGAAGGTGCAGGGACATCCCCTCCTTGAGAACCCTCCCCCCCCAGCAGCATCATCTGTTGCTCCCCTGGAAGCCCACGGTGGTTTTGGGGGGGAATCAAACCAGCCAGAACCTGGGAGGGAGCTCCAGGTTGTGCCTTGGTGAAGGAAAACTCAACAAATGGGTTTGTTTGCTCAAGAGGGAGAGGCCAAGGGGTGGGGAGGATCTCCACCCAGCTCCAGCTTTTAATGCTCTCCTGAGGCTGCTTTTTTCCCCTCCAGGATTGATTTTTCTTCCTCCATGATTGATTTTTTCCACCTCAAGTATTGATTTTTCTCCTCCATCTACCCTGTGCTGTTCCAACAAGGCTTTGAGAGTTCTCCTCCTCTGCTAAGACCCTCTTGGTATCTCCTGACAGCTGTTTGGAGCAGGACAGGTGGAGCTGGGGTTGTTTTTTGGGGCTTATTTCACCCCAAGTGAACACAGCCTGCTTGGGAGCCTGTTCCCAGGGAGGTGGACAGCCCCAGGTCACGTCCAGGCATCTCCTTTTCACCTCCCCATGGCCGTGGCAAGCCTCCTTGTCCCTCATCCACCAAGGCCAAGTGTGTCTGAGCATCTTCTGCCTGACCAACGCTCCCTCAGGTACTTGGAGAGCCTGCAGCAGGAGATTCCCCAGTGGAAGATGCAAGGAGAAGAGAAAGGAGCAAGAAATCAGCTCCTCCTGAGCTTGTTTGTGGTGGATTCCCATGTCTACATCTAGAGGGCAGGGCAGGTACGTGCTTGGAGCTGGGTCTTTGTGCCATCTGCTCCGTGGCCCCCCTTGGACCCTCACCAGCCCAGATTTCTTCTTCTGGAGCTGGAGAGTGTATGAGAGAGGGACAAAAAGCTGTGATGTGTGGTGGAATCTCCTTCTTCTTGCTGCAGAACCAGCTGGAAGCTGCGTGGAGACACTGGGGTTGTCCCAGGTGGTTTTTTCCACGAGGCAGGAACCAGCTCTTGCTTGATCCTCCACCACGGGGACAAAGAGGGGTTTGGTGGTGGGTCAAGGGGGACAAAAGCAGCCACCCAAAGCCAGTCTGCACCCTCCAAGGTGTCTGGGTGGGGGATGAGGAGTTTGTTCCTCCCCATCACGGAAGGGACAGACCCTCTGCATTTCATCAGCAGCTTGGCAGGTCGGTGGCCAGGCTTGGACCAGGCAGAGGTCTGTGGAAGGAGACAAGAAGCACTAAAAATGGAGGTGTTTGCTCTGAAGATTTCTCATCTCATTTCTTCACACCCCAATCCAAGACTTCTGACCTCCAGAAGTCCTTCCTAAAGCAAATTATTCCCTTCTTCAGTGCTTATTTTTTGGGTTTTTTTTGGTGCTGGCTGTTCCTGCACTTCAGGACATCAGATGGAGAGCAGCACCAAGAGAAGGTTGAACCTTCCACGGGCTTGTCACCAGTTGTCTGCCGTGAGACAGAGATGATTATGGGCTGTCATCATTCAGCCTGGGGATGGCTTGGCTGTCCTCCAGCCACAGATATATTTTTTTGGCTAGTCTCACAGTTTTGGAGAGCTGGAGAGCATCAGAGCTCTTCTCACCAGGAGCAAACGTGCCTGTTTTATAAATATCCATCAGCTGGAGGATTTATCTCGTGGAATTTTAGGGGCAAAACATGAACTTGGCCACGCCTGGGCTTCTTTTTACAAAGCTCCAGCTCCTGGATCTGTGGGGGCTTGTGCAGACGTGGAGATTCTTCATTTCAAGGTCATTTTTATCCTGTGTGGTTGGAGGGAGGTGTGGGGTGAAAGGAGATGAGGATCACAGAAGGGTTTGGGTTGAGGAGACCTTCAAAAGGGACCTTTTAAGGCCGTGTAGTCCATCTCTCTTCCAACCTCAACGTCCCAGCTCAAAGCCCAGAGGTGGAGCTTTTGGTTGAGGTTCATGCAAAGGAACTGGGGGTCCTGGCACCCACCAAGGAGCAGCTCACATCCTGCTGCACGTTTCACCACCATGGCCACGAAGGGAGGAGGGTTCCTCCTGTGGAGGGAACTTCTTCCTGCCCCAAACAGCCTGGTCCAAGGAACAGGACTGGTGATGGGTGGGTGAAGATGCTCCCTGATGGCTCCTTGTAGTTAAACTTTGTGGGTAGACCTAAAAACCACACCCTAAACCTCCCATTTCTCCATATTTTTGGTGTTGGCATGATGAAGATGGAAGAAGCAGCACGAGGACTTCGTACCTTTGATGCTGCTGGGGTAAAAAATGCCCCCCCTGGAGAAGATGGGTGTTGTAATTGAGTGGGTACCCCTCAGCCAGGACTTGTTGCAGGTCAACGAGGTGGGGATTTCTCAACTGGCTTTGCTAACTTCCCAGAGAGGTGATGAAACCTCTGCGGGTACTTATTGGAGCAGAAACAAGCCCCAAGTCCAGCAGGAAGAGGAGTTCAGCTGAGCTGGAAGGAGACCTTGACCTGCAAACAACCCAGCTCCTATCTTCAGCCCTGTGAGCAGCGTCTGGGGAGGTGGCAGGTTTGCAAACAAGGGTTTCACCACCCTGCTGATCAACGTGGACGTTGCAAAGGTCCCTGTCTGAGACAGTTATCTAGGGGCAACCAGCTGCCTGTGGGAACTTCAAGTCCACCAGCTCTGGTTGGCTTAGGATGAGAAAAAATGGGCCCTTGGAAGAGCCCGTGGAGAGTCTGTTTTGTGGTCATGTTTGCCAAGGGTTTCTCTGAAGGTCTCTCTCTTTGGTTGCACTCATCCCACCCCACCCCACCTTCCAAACCCATCTCCATGCATCTTCTCCCACGGCTCTGTGTGGTGCAGGGAGTTGAGGCTGCTGAGGGGTCTTCCCAGCTCCCAGCTTCCTAAAAGGTGGTGCAGAAAGCCAGTGAGCTTCAAGAGGGTCATTTCTGAAGAGCTGTTGCCTACGTGGCCTCTAGTTTGCAGTGACCTTGAGGATGGAGGAGCTTTGTCATTTCTCACTCTTCCTCTTCATCTCTTTGGCCACCTCTTCCTGTGGTGGGTTGGTTTTGGGTTTTTGTCTCCTCACCCCTGCTTCATTTTAGCCTGGAGAGCCTGAAAGGCCTCCTGAGAGCAGAGACATCTTGCAGCCGTGCCTGTTGGAGCACCAAGAGGTCTCAGCCTGTTCTCCAGCCAGGTTCTGGGTCACGTGGAGGTCTTCAGCAGGCTCCGAGGGCTGTGGTCAGGTGTAGGGTGTGCAGAGCTGTGCAGGGACAGGCTGGGTGGGAGTGCCAGGGGGGTCCCCTCCTGGACACAACAGCTGCTGAAGGCTTGGGCATGGACCAGCTCTGGGCAGAGGTGTTGGCTCTCCAGAGGGGCTACCCACTGGACGTGGGTCTGTGGAGAAAGGGTGGGGTCTGAGGCACCTTCTGGTGCAAGTGTCCTAGGTGGAAGCAGGAAAAGCTCCTGGGAGGAGTGAGGGGTGTGCCCGGGGCTGAGCTGGGCATCAAGTGGTCCTGACCCTGGCTCTGAACACACCTTCTCCACTGCTGGAGACTGAAGCCCTCAGGTGATGCTCTGGTTCTGTTCCTTCTCCCTGCCCTGGAGCTTCTGGATGTCTTCCTTGAATTTTTCTGCAAGGAACTCATAGAACGATTGGGAAAGGACCTTAAAGATCATCTCATTCCAACCCCTCTGCCATGGGCAGGGACATCTCCCACCAGAGCAGGTTGCTCCAGGGAAAGCCTCGTGTAGACTTGGAGGTTTGACCTTCTACTCACCCTATTCCCACACCTCACCATCCACTCCTCCTGGATCTTACAAACCTCTGTCTGTGGGACTTCTTCACACAACTATTTCAGGTCAACACTTCCCTGCCACGAGGTGATAACCAAAACCTTGGACTTGGAGCCCATCTCTTGTGCTCTGCTGCACGCCTGGACTCCAGGAGGTTCAGCAAACCTTCGTTGCACAGGGTTGAAGGAAACTCCTTGGCTGTGGGGGCATTTTGGCATGGAAGACCCCCCCAATTTGATCCCTCTACCAAGACCTGAGCTGCTCCTTGGAGGACCAGTGGCCCAGCAGTGTCCAGGAAGTGTGTAGCTGTGTAGGAAGCTAAAGAAAATAGCTGTGGAAGCTTTGGGAAGAGCAATGAAGTGTTGGTTTACCTCTAGAGTCGGACGTGGCTTGTGGAGGTGGCTCTGGGAGGAGAAGGGAGGTGGCTAAGCTGTCTCTGGGTGGGTGTCTTCAACCAGTGACTGGTGAGGATGGTCGTTGTCTGTCTGCAGAGGTGCTTGCTGTGGCTTCTGGGTTCTTTTTGTTTGCTGAGAAGCTGGTTTGAGGTGGGACAAGCAGCCATTCCTCCTGCCAAACTGCCCGTTGGTTGCTGAAGTCCAGGTGGAACTGCAGCAGTGATGCCTCTACCAACGAGTCTTCCTCCATGGCTGCAGTGAGGGATGCTCCTGAAAGACCTGGACCTCCTTAACTGTGTTTTCTAGGTCTCCCCAGAGCTCCCCACATGGGGGAGGTGGAGGTGGATGTGCAGGAGGAGGGTGGGGAGGAGGGTTGGATTGGGTCGATCCTTCTAACAGCTCTTCCCAAGCCTGGCTCCTTCACTCAGTGCTGCCCCATCAACTGGTGGTCGTGTGGGAACCCAGAGGAGGACAAACCCACCCACAGCCTCTGCTGAATGGCACCTTTGCTGGGCCTTCCAGGGCTCTCGGGGTGGATTTGGAGGTGGGGAGCTCAGACCTGCTGACACCAAGATGTTCACGACCCAAACCACCCCTTGACACTTCAAAGGGACGCATCCTGAGCAGACCCAGCCTTGTCCCCACCAAAAGTTCTTCTATGGGGGCAAACCCCTGTGAGATAGCAGCCCTGGCTGGAGGACTTGCTCTTCCTTCAGCATCTCCAGCACCATGCTGCTGGTGGCACAACAGGGACCCTGCAGCAGCAGATTTGCTGCTCTCTGGGTGACCTCTGAGAGATGCCTGGAAAATATTGTTGGGACCACGTCTAAAAAACCTCTTCTGGAAGAGGAGGGGAACGTCTGAGCTGGGGGAGGAGGGCAGGAGCTGTTTGGGCTCTTGTCTCCATGGGATCCCCTACACACACACACACAGAACATTTGCTGTGAGTGGAGCTGGTGGATATTTCCAGCTCCATTCCCACCCGCCTCTCCTTCAAAGATCTCATCCCATGGTGGATGCTCCCCCAGCCCCCGTGCCCCTTGGGGCTGCCCACAGCAGCTCCACAAGTTTGGGTCTTTAAAAACCTCTTAGTTGGGTTGAAATCTTCCACTGCAGAAGTTCCCTGTGTGGTGGGTGAGGTTGAATGAGCTAAAGATGGATGGCTCGCTCAGGGATTGCTCCTGCACGTGCTGGTGGTGGACTGTGGGCTGCAAGTTCTTCCTCCTCTTCATTCCTGAAGGCAGAGCTGCTCCCAAACCCTTGGAGATGTCCTTGTCCATGGATGAGCCACACTTATCTCCAAGGAGACATTTACTGGAGGCCTTACAGATGGATGGCTGGGTACAAGCAAGCCTGGGCTCCCCACAACCTTCAAACCACACCTAGAGTGGTGGGCTGGTGGGAGGAAGAGGGAGAGGAAGGCTCCTTCCTCAGCACTCCCAAGGAAAACACCTCCTGGGCTCCTCCAGCTCGCCCACCCCACCAGGAGAAGTCCTCCCCCTCTCCACCCCTCCGTCCTGGTGGCTGCCCTCTCCTCTGGGGCTGCCTGCCCTGGCCAAGGGAGGTGCAGCGGGGGCTCTTGCAGATCATTGGTCTGAGAAGGTCTCCATGCCCTTAAAGAGAAGGGGGATTTTCTGCCGAGCCACCCGAGAAGCCCTTTTATACCTCCTTGCTCAGCCAGCTGCCTGCAGCTCACCAGCCCGTCCTGTCCGGCCAGAGGGACTCTCAGGTTGTCTTCTCCAGCCTTGGGTGAGCTCTTTTTGCATGTCTCTGAGTGACCCAGCCTGCTCTTAAAGGGGTGAGGGGGGAGCAGGTTCTCTCGCTTGACTTTTGGGGAGGTGACCTGCTGGGAGAAAGGGGGGTGCTGATAAAACCTTCTCCATCTTTTGCCTGTTGGAAAGGATCTGTGCCTGAGAAAACGTCCTCCTGCCTCTCCCAGATGTCTTTTTTCCCCTCCCTGGGTTCACATCTTCTCCTCCTTTGGTTGGTTCTGCTCTCCACTTGGAGGGGTGGGCGCCAGCAGAACCTCAACCTCCCTAACGCCGACCCCCTTAGTGCCAGGGGAGGTGGGTGGGTTCTCCATCTTTTGCCTGTTGGAAAGGATCTGTGCCTGAGAAAACGTCCTCCTGCCTCTCCCAGATGTCTTTTTTCCCCTCCCTGGGTTCACATCTTCTCCTCCTTTGGTTGGTTCTGCTCTCCACTTGGAGGGGTGGGCGCCAGCAGAACCTCAACCTCCCTAACGCCGACCCCCTTAGTGCCAGGGGAGGTGGGTGGGACCCTTCCCTGCAGTACCTCAGCACCACCCCCCCCT